AAATCTGTGCTAACAATATACAAAAGCAAAGCACGGATACCACACCACGAAATCTCTCAAAATATGATTACAAAAAAAAAAATTAAGCCATTTCTGAAAATACTACAAGGGCTGTTTGGTGCATATCGTGAATACAAATAGATCGTCTGCGTATCTTTGAATTGCCTGTTGATGTATGAGACGGTTCATATTCAGTAGACTAACGTGTTATAAACATCTATCCTCATCTGTCTGTTGTGTTTATTTGGTACTGTCTTATGCTTTGTTTCTACTACTCAAATTTGAAAGGATTAACTGTGAATGATCCCTTATACTATCGCAAGTTGCAGACAAACCCATGTACTTCTATTTGTGCGCATGGATCCCCTTGTAGTATTTCCATGTGCATATACCCCCTCAGTGAACTTTTTCTACTCTTCTAAACATAAAAAAAAAGATTAGCAATTTGGGTTCTCTCCTTACAAATATAGTTATACCCCCCTCAGCAATTAGTTTGTCTCAATATTTTGTGATTTGTAATAGCTTATTTAGGTTCCCTCGACAGGTCAGTCCTAGAACTGATGAGAGGAAGAGCTGATATTCCACTTTATTGAGATATTTTGCTTAAGGTTCTTGTTTCCCTTGTGAAACATGAATTCCTATTGCGACCTGACTCTCTTGTTGTGCTGTCGAGGTGCTGCCAAAATTTTTGCTGCGCGCAACATTCTTAACCTTATTGAAGACCTTCTATAGTAATTTAGGTTCTCTCCTTACAAATTTTGACGAAATGATAGTACACTTGAACACACGTAAATACATATACACGTCACGTTTACATACCTAATGAGATAGAAGCCTTCCTCTGACAGCCGGTCATACACATTTGTTCTAAATTAAAATGATATATCTAGGGAGATGCTCACTTCCATTAATTTTTAAATTCTAGATACGGGCAGTTCCTGACAAATCTTTCTTGGGCATACCACGTGATCGGAGGCATCTAGACACCCGATACAAGGATGGAATAGAAGCCTTCTTAGCCTACTCTGACACCAACCCTCTACGGTCGCTGAGCGGGTCGATTTTCTGTCCTTGTAAGAATTGTAGGAATGGTAAAATGCTCACTAGGAGTGACGTAAGTTTTCATCTGTCAATCAATGGATTTGATAGCTCTTATGTATTTTGGAGTCATCACGAGGAAGGCGTCCCAGTGATGCAATTAGAGGAAGAGTTCACTGATGTCGATAATCTGACAGTTAACACGACTGATATGTTGGAAGATATTCTTGCAGCACAGTCTTCGAGTGATGTCAACACTACTGATATGTTTCAAGATGTAGACCGATTAATGAGACTTGTTAAAGAAAACGAGTCACCGTTATACGAGGGGTGCAAGGAGTTCACAAGGCTTTCTTTTATGTTGCGGCTTCTTCATATACAAACACTCAGTGGGATGGTTGTTACACATTTTGAGATGTTATTAGATTTGCTCAGGAAAGTTATTCCAGGCGGCGAGAAGAGCATCCCCACAACCTCTTACGAAGCTCACAAGATTGTTGATACGTTGGGGCTTGATTACAAGAAGATAGACACATGTCCTAATGACTGCATCCTGTACAATAAGGGTAATGAAGCTCTGGAGGAATGTCCGACGTGTCATGTATCACGCTGGAAAGAACATACTGGCACATCCGAAGGCGGTTCATCCAATAAGCAGAGCAGAATCCCTTGAAGGTTCTTCAATATTTTCTAATTATTCCTAGGCTACAGAGGTTTTTTATGTCTGCCAAGCTGGCTGAGAATATGCGATGGCATTCGACCGACCGCAAAGAGGACGGGAAACTGAGACATCCTGCTGATGGTGAAGCATGGAAGCACATCAATCGTATATACCCCGACTTTGGTAAGGAGTCTCGGAATATTAGGTTGGAGCTTGCTAGTGACGGATTTAATCCATTTGGATTAATGAGCTCCGCTTGGTCTACCTGGCCAGTGTTGCTAACACCGTACAACCTACCGCCGTCGATGTGCATGAAGCAGCCGTACATGATACTGTCACTCTTGATTCCTAAAAGATATTCTCCTGGAAATGACATCGACGTTTTCCTCCAACCGTTAATTGACGACCTGAAGCTTCTTTGGGAAGAAGGTGTCAGCACTTATGATGCTTATGGTAAGGAGTCTTTCTGTATGCGGGCAATGGTCATGTGGACAATTAATGACTTCCCGGCATATGCTAACCTATCTGGATGGTTGACGAAAGGTCAGATTGCTTGTCCGATTTGCATGTCAGACTATGAGGGAAAGTTTCTAAAATACAGCTGTAAGTTCTGTTATTGGCAACACAGAAGATGGTTGCCTACAGGGCACAAGTTCAGAAAGTTAATAGAAAAGTTCGACGGCAATCCAGAAAATAGACCGGCACCACCAAGGCTGACCGGGGAAGAAATATTTGAGCTTCTACATCCACAACCTAGAAAAATATTTGGAAAGAAAAGATTCAATAAAGAAAATCCATTTGGGGTTAGGAGAAAAATATTGAAGCAAAATTGGAGGGGAAAGGGAAAGGGTAAGCTATTTCTCAAAGGCAATTCGAAAGGAAATAAGCCTCGCAGAGTCAAGTCGCATGGGCGTGTCTCTAAGGGCAATGAACTTCCGCATGGATGGTCAAAATTCAGCATATTTTATCAGTTGCCATATTGGAGAAGTTTAAAAATACGTCACAACTTGGATGTCATGCACATCGAGAAGAACATATGCGAGAATATCTTGAAGACTTTGTTGCAGGATGGGAAAAAATCGAAAGATGACTTAAGGGCACGTCGAGACCTAGAAGAATTGAACATCCATCCTGAACTGCAAGCTATAGATAAGGGTGACGGAAAGTTTAAACTCCCAGCCTCCCGTGTCACACTGTCGAAGGATGAGGTCCACAATATGTGTTTATTTCTAAAGTCTGTGAAGACACCGGATGGTTATGCTTCAAACATTTCAACAAATGTGCATATTGAGGACAGAAAAATTTTAGGACTCAAGACACATGACCATCATATTCTATTACATCAACTTCTCCTGGTTGCGTTGCGACATGCTGAGAAGGAACTCGCGATGGTGGTAATAGAATTATGTGGTTTCTTCAAGCAGTTGTGCTCCAAGGTGATTGATGTCAGGGGGTTTGAAGAATTAGAGGGACGTGTAGCCAATACATTGTGTAAAATAGAAATTCTATTTCTACACTCGTTCTTTACGATCAGGTGCATCTCACAATACATTTAGCATATGAAGCCCGCATCGCAGGACCAGTTCAATATCGCTAGATGTACCTTGTGGAGAGGTATTTATTATTATAATGTTCAATTAATATTTGTCAAATTCCGTTACTCAGTTTTATTTTATCACAAATCATGAAACTATATGCTTGTAGGTATTTGGGTTTCATGAAACAGCTGATGCATAACCGTGCACGTCCAGAAGGGTCGATCGCAGAGAACTACATAAGTAACGAGAGTTTGAATTTCATCTCTCGTTACTTATGGGGTGTGGAGACAAGGATCAACCGTCCCTAACGAATAATTGACGGAACATTCTATAATAACCGTGGGGAGGACACTAGATTCCCCAGAATGGAGCTAGATCAATCCCACACATATATCCTGAGCAATGATACTACATTTAACATATATGCGGCCTAAGTATTTAGCTGTTTGAATCAGATCATATTACACCATAATAATTATCTCTATTTAACCATTATAAATGATTCTATTCTAGGCTTCACATCCGATATGTCCAGACTACTCTTAAATGCAGAACAAAAAATAAAAGAGTTATGGACACACACTCTCGACAATTCCTTACATGGCTGAAGGGTGAAGTAAGATCTTTTTTACATATCTGATTAGTATATCAAATATACGTGCCTACCACCAGATATTTAAACTATTTGTTTTATTTCTTAAAGGTTGAGCTTCGGATTAAGAATAGGGTTAACCTGTCTGAGAAAGTATGTTTATATGCCAGAGGTCCTTCTAACGTGGTTAAGCATTATGGAGGCTACTGCGTCAACGACTTTAGGTTTAACACCATCGGTTTCGAAGAGAGACGACAAACGCAAAATAGCGGTGTGTTCTGCTCATTTTCGCAACTGTCATACTCTAGTTCAAAAGATCTAAATCCGATACAAGGTGAATTCTATTGCTACGGTCAGGTAGAAGACATCGTGGAGATTTTCTATAGGCTCAAAAAGGAAGTCAGACATGTGATGTTTAAGGTTCGTTGGTGTGAGATAAAAAGGACGAAGGATGACTACGGTTACACACTCGTTAATCTTAACAAGGAAATATATCAGAATGAAAAGTACATGTTAGCTGCTCACGCCAAACAGTGCTTTTATGTTAAAGATATAATGAAAAATAACGAATGAGTTGTCCTTAAGAATCCGCCTAGAGCCTACATTCATGAAGCTGCGTCTGACGAAGATCACGATGAGGAGGTTATCTTGGTCGACGAAACAGTTGTTGAGTTTTCCTTGACACAAAATAATAATCTGATGGATGAAATTGCACTAGCACACCCTGATGTACCTGCAATTATATGTAAGTCAAGGCGTAAAGGTAAAAAACCAGTCCGCAGCGGAGTCGATAAAACTATAAGAATAGTCATTTTGTCGGCACGCACACGGTCTCAGGCTAATCACACATGGTCTCAGGCTAATCGCACACGGTCGCAGAGTAGAGCCTTAACATCGTCATAATAATGTATCAGTTTGTGTCATGTATTATAGTATTGCTTTGATATTATTTGTTTGACTGGTTATCATGTATCAGTTTGTGTCATGTATTATAGTATTGCCTTTATATTATCTGTTTGATTGGTTATCATGTGTTAATTTGTGTTATGTATTAGAGTATTACCTTTACATTATCTGTTTGACTAGTTACCATGTGTTATTTATTAATTATTTGCATTATATGCTTTTGTTGGATGCTCATTATATTTTCAAAGTATAGATGACAAAAGGACTACGTAAGAGAGCGCTTGAGAGACTTTTTGGTAGACAGTCTAGAGGCGACGCACATGCCTCTACGTCAGGTATTTTTATTTATTTGTTATATATGTACATTTCTATAAACTATTAATTTGAGCCTAACATTATTTTTTAACATTTCCTACACAGAACGTAGAGATGCTACACATGACTTACCGCCACAGGACACAGGTAGCGGAGATGCTTCACATGATGCGGAGGCACAGGCTGATGCTACACAGCATGCTGAGATACCGTCGCCTCCGCGACCTCTGCGTGCAGATGTATTGGAGGAGCGAAGATATGAGCCGTATAGTGCAGCTGTAGAAGCTACGCCACTACCACCAGATTCTATTCCAGATCAGCGAGTCCACGACCCGGCCAAGGTGAAGGGGATTGAGAATCTTATCATGCTTTACAACCTATCGCGTAGCGTAGGTACGAACAAGCAAGGCGTAGATACATCGAACTGAAAGGTGTGAATAGATTTTTATAGTTTATCGATTATTATTTTACTTTTTATTATGGGTATGGATTGATTTATATGCCACCCGATTTTTATTGTTTTGCAGGTACCAGGCGACCTCCTAGGCGCGACCGCAGTGCTACCAAGCCACAGAACCTCATCCCTGATATTCATCGGAGGGCTGTGATCCGATGGGAGCACGGAGTGCCTATCGGGGCATTTGCCAATGCTTTCAATAATTTTCTCGCCACTTTAGCCAGGAGACATGACTTCTTTAATCTTTTTTTCACGTGGAAATCACAACGAATTGATGCACTGGCGGCTTGTTGGAGATATATATGTGTGAGTTATTAGTTTATTATTTTTTTGCCAGGAGTCATTTATTCGGATTTTCATCATTTGGAGTTATTAGTTTATTATTATGTTTAATACACTGATTTGTATCTCTTTTTTTATATGCTGAAGCGATTTTTCTTCCTTGATGATAACATTTGTGCTTGGACTTACTGCTTCACGCAAATTAATATATCGTTCAAGAGGTGGCGATCTGAGGTGAAGAAAAAATATTTCGTGCAAATAACAAACGATTGTGAATGCTTCTGGCATCTTGACGAGCGCGTAGATGGAGTAGAATTTTTTGCACTTTGTGATTATTAGGACACGGCTAAAATCCAGGTATTATTACCGTAGATTTTTTCATTTTATAAGCTAAATTTCTATATTTTCCTGATTTGACATTGTTTTCTAGGCTCAAGCTGAAATAGCAAGGAGGAACCGTAACGCTCCCCGCAGTTACGAGCATCACGGGGGTTCCAAGTCCTTTAGCCAGCATTATCATCAATTGTCGCTTGAGGTATATAATATATTAGCTTATAAATTGTCAATTTGAGTATACTTTATGTGTTATGGGTTAATAATATATTTGAATAAAATAGGGAATGGGAGATCTTGGACATTTTGCAGATCGTATTCTAACTTCTTGGAGCCCGAATTACGCCGATGAAGAGAAGAAGGTGAAGAACAAGGATCTGGCTGTAAGTAGCAGTTCATTTGTATATTCAATTTCATAACAATGCATCATTAAAAAATTGACTTGCCCGGGTTGTTTTGATATATCGCAGGAGAAATTACATGCCAAGGTACAGGAGCAAATATCTTAGTCTCAGGTCGGTTCTAGCACTCCGGCCCGGCTAAGTAGAGAGGAGGAAGACACCATCATCGAGACGGTCATTGGACCGAGTAGGAAGAACAGATACCGGTGGAGAGTATCCGAGCAGAAGCCGCACGAGTCTAGTAGCACTTACGAGTCTGCAGCACCACCAGGAACACCAGGAAGCAGTTCATATCAAGACTCGATGGAGCAGCTGATGAAAGCGATTGAAGATTGGCAGTCACAGCAAACAACATATCAGCGGATTGCGGAGGAAGAACAGAGGCGCCGGGAGCAGCAACAATTAGAGTTCACACAGTTCATGTCGATTCAGTCTCAAGAGGCTCAGGAGGCATATAGGAGACGATTTATGGCGGATCAGGTAATATATATACTTTATTTTTTTAAATTAAATGAATTAAATATATTTAATTCTTACTTAGTTATGAATATGCCATGTGACTAAATGATATCACACACATCGATACACACTTTTACATACAAACCCTAACTCTAACCCTAACACAAAGCCCAAAATATATACGTATAATTTTTTTTGTGATGGTGGTGTTGATGGTGCGTACGTGCGTAGTGATGGTAGTATTGGTTGGTGAATTGGTTAGTTGTGTTGTTGTGGTGCATGCGTGCGTATGGTTGGTTATGTGATCGCTTGGTGGGTGGTTTGGTCATGGTGGGGGAGGGGAAGGAGTGGGGATTTGGTGGTGGTGGTGATGTAGGGGGAGGGAGAGGGGTGTGGAGTGTGGTGCATGCGTGCACACGTGTACGCGTGCGTGCATCCGTGCAGGCGTGTATGCGTGCGTGCATGCGTTCACACGTGTACGTGTGCGTGCGTGTGTGCGTATGGTTGGTTAGTTGTGTTGTTGTGGTGCGTGCGTGCGTATGGTTGGTTATGTGATCTCTTGGTGGGTGGTTTGGTCGTGGTGGGGGAGGGGAAGGAGTGGGGATTTGGTGGTGGTGGTGATGTAGGGGGAGGGGGAGGGGGTGTGGAGTGTGGTGCATGCGTGCACACGTGTACGCGTGCGTGCATACGTGCACGCGTGTATGCATGCGTGCGTGCATGCGTGTATGCGTGCGTGTATGCGTGTGTGCATGCGTACACGCGTGTATGCGTGCGTGCATGCGTACACGCGTGTACTTGTGCGTGCGTGTGTGCGTATACTTGCGTGTGTACATGTGCGTGCGTGTGTGCGTATACATAAGAATATGCCATGATACTCTCTTATTGCTATACTTGAATATCATGCCATGTTGTTAACGTTTGATTTATATTTGCAGGCCGGGACTTCTAGACAATGTGAAGCTGGTGATGAGGAGGATGATGATGATGATCAGGAGGACTGATTTGTTTTTTAACCTTTGAAAACAATGAATGAGTGTGTTGTATAAACAATATTTATCATGGTGTGTGCTGTATAAACAACGTTTATTATGTTGGGATATTTTAATTAAATTATATGTGTTATATATGCATGAGAATGAATATTATACTGCTGATTGAACAGGTTTTTAAATTTATTATATTATTGTACAGGTTTTTTCAATTTTTAAATTATTTTTAAAAATGTATTGGAAATATTTAGCAACGGTTTGGCCGTCGCTAAATAGACTTTTAGCGATGGAAAACAGATACGGGGGACAAACATTAGCGACGGATTTTCCGTCGCGAATGTTAATGGCGATGGAAAATTCGCCTTATTTTTTATTTATTTTTTAAAAACTAGTTATAGCGACGGATACGCCGTCGCCAATATGTTTTGGCGACGGAAAATCCGTAGCTAAAAATTGTTTTAGCTACGGAAAATCCGTCGCTAATGTTTTTTTATTTTAAAAAAAAAATAGTACGACGGATAATTCGTCACTAAAAGTCCGTCGCTAAAATTTAGCGACGGAATATCCGTCGCTAAAAACGATTTTAGCTACCCTCACTATACTGACGGTTGTTTAGCGATGGAATTTTATTTTTTCCGTCGCTAAAGGTTTTAGCGACGAAATTTAGACTTTTAGCGACGGATTTGTCCGTTGCTAAAAGTCTTGCTTCTAGTAGTGAGTGAGATTACATTGTTTTCTCAACCTATTGTAGAGAACAAAAACTTGTATTTAAGCCTTATTGTGAGTTACACGTAGTATTACACTTGTACACTGAGAAAAATGTATGGTGACAGACGGGGTCGGTTCCAAGAGGAGTGAGGTCGGTAGTAAAGCCTAGTGGGAGGTTGCAATTCCGAACATTTGAGGAAGGTGACACGGGTTAGGCCAACACTTAGAGGGTGTAGAGTGTGATTACAAGTGTGTAAGTTGTAAAGTTTTCGGTGAATTAGAAAACCGAGTTGTGAGGTATAAACGACGTTATTCGGGTGAGCGTAGAAAACCCGATTCTGATAGTGGAGATCTCCTCGAGGTGATGAGCGGAGACGTAGGTCAAGTGGTTGACCGAACTCCGTGAACATATCATGTGTTTGTGATTGTTTTTGTGCTCTATCACTCTTGTTTAATTATTGTTTGTTCATATATTCTAGCCTTAATCTATTGTATATTAATATTGTTAGGATACATTTGTTAGTAAGTTTTAATCGGCATTAATATCTAATAAGATTAGCATAAACCCTATTCACCCCCCCTCTAGGGTGTCTTTCAATATCCACGGTGAATGATCTGAGTAGTGATTCCTCACATTTGATCGTAAATATTTTCGTATCCAATTTGGCGGATGTTACATTTTAGAGTTTGTGATTTAATTGATTTCGTTATAAATTGAGTTAATTTAGTTAAGATTTAATGTTAGAGGGGTGTCCTTAGGGGCACCAGTGGTTTCTAAGAGATTGTCATCTGCAGATTACCAGAGTTTGATTGTCAAAATTACTACTGATATTCATGGATGCGGCTTTAGAAAATTGACTTATGCTGGAAGAATCCAATTGGTTAGAAGTGTGGTTCTTGGGGCTCATGTTTGCTAATCTTTTAACGACACTCTACGTGAAGCAGTTTTGGTTGCAATTTATAAAGTTCTAGCACCCATATATGCTGCATGGGTTGAAAGGAACATGCATATCTTCACTGGTAAAAAATGTGATATAAAGGTGTTACTTAAGGAAGCCAAGACTAATATACATACTTACATCAATCCTGACGCACAAGCCTATATATTCCATAGGTAGTGATTGGTTCATAGTGGGATTGGCACCATATGGATTTCAATGTCTTTTAGAATTTCAATCAAGTCTAATGTTTGGCTTGCTTGGGACGACGAAATGGATGGGATTGAGACTTCTCTCTAATCCTCAAATTGTGAATTAAAAAGTTCTACTTCCCCTAGGATTAGCACCATTGGACTTCTCAGCCATTATACCCTCACCTTATGTATTATATATTATGTTAAAAGTAAGGGGTTGTTTGTAACCGTAGAAGTTTTTGGGGTGTTGTTTCAAAAAATTGAAAACTTCAAAGGATTGTTTGTGAAATTTTTGTTGGGCTATTTGTAAAATTTTAGGGCGTCAATTGCAATTTCTAAAACTTTTTAAGGGCTTTCTACAAATTTTTCAGGGTGTATCATTTATCCCATCTCCAATGTAACCTAGAAAGTAAATGCTGTCTAGGAGTATTGTTACTGGATTGATTTCTTGGAAGGTAATTGTTGAGTGAATATTATAAATACTAAGATATTTTTCGTGTTTGTGGTGTTCCTTGTGACAGGTTTTTGTCAACTCAGGCATGCTAAGTGAGTCATAGGTACCTACAATTTTTCAATCAAATAAAAAGATTGTTCATTAACCAAAAATATCATTAAAGTGTTCTGTATTCTCACATTAATTAACCAGTGTAGTGAGACCATTAGTAAAATTTGAATGTTTAGGAGAGGTTTTGTGAGAATACCCAAAGATCATTGATGCTTAGAGGATAAAAAGATCAGAAGGTTTCCTATCAAAAACACAAGGTATGGAGATTTTTGTGAAATTTATACTAATATTTATTTGGTGAGGCTAATCATTATGGAGCAA